CCCTTCCCCCTTGCCCTCTTCTCCCCTCTTCTCCTCTCCTCTCTCCTCTTTTCTCTTTTTCTTCTTTCTTTCCTTTGCCAAAATTCTTTTCCCATTGGGTCCATCACACCCAGTAAGAGGTTCAATCACATTTGTAATAATGGTAAAAATAATTGTAATCATGACTGTTTTAAATCAAGCAAGAAAGTCGAACATTCAGTGACTTTCTTATTGTAGGTAAAACGTGAAGTATGAGGCAAAACAAGTAGATTGACAGTGAGTTATGGGCTCTCTGGAAGGAAGACTTTTCTTGCAAACTGGAGGGGAGTGGTGCATTGGCCATGAACCTGTGAGCATGTGGTCTCGCGAAAGGGTCAGGAGGAGCTGTGAGTGTGTTGCCAGTCTTCCTGTGGGCACCTCCTCTGAATCTCATGCCATTTACTAGTAGTGTTTCTACTGTTGCTGAGTTTCTGCTGTTGGTGGTTTCCTGTTGTGGAGACTGGTGAATCCTAGCAAGACATAAATGAAGAAACACTACGACACTATGGAGCCAGCCATTCTCAAACGCCTCAAGTGCGGGGGAATTCATTAGAGAAATCAAGATTCTCCTGATTATTGCTTGAAGAGCTTGACTTCTAATCAATCAACGGTGAAAGGGTTTCTTGTCTGATACATTTTTTTTATGAAGTACCCACCATGTGTCACGCATTTTTAACATATTCACTATTGATTTTACCCAGAGTGAAAGCCAAAAGGCTGGCTTTCAAACTTCATGGTGAAGCCTTCAGCTTCTGGGATGGTGCCTGGGAGGCTGCTGAGGGAAAGGTCAATGGGACCTGACCTGGCCTCCCAGTGTTGATTCAACCAGCATGCGTCAACCTTATCTCTTTTATACAGTGGTGGTTTACTTGAGATTTTGTTTTCATAAAATTCCATCCCTTTAAAAACATTTGAAAGCTACCACTTTCGGGAATTTGGTGTTATTATACACAGAAAAATAAATCACTTATTTTTGAAGAATTATTTTGGATTGTTCGCATCTCAAAGAGATGAAGTATGTAATTCTTTCCTCTCTCTCACTGAGTCACAGGCACTGCCCAGACGGGAATGCTTGGAATTTCTTTTCTTTTTTTTTTTAACAAAAAAGATCTCTACTTTATAAAAAGTTTTTATGTCATAAAATATTTTTATATATAAATATTTTTAAAAAACATATATATATATATTTAAACTATTTTATTGAGGTATGATTGACAGACAAAAAGCTGTACATATTTAATGTCTGCAACTTGATGAGTTTGGAGATAAGTGTACACCCATGGAACAACATCATGCCTGTAGTTGAGAATACTGTATTGTATGCTTAAAAATTTGTTAAGTTCAGTGTTTGTTTGTTATGTTCAGTGTTCTTATGACACACACACACAAAATAATGATAAAGAGGGCAGGAGGAAACTTCTGGAGATGATAGATATATTTATATTTTTATAACTGATCTTATTCTATAGGCACATAACTCACAAGCTAAGGAGTGAGAACTTAAGTATATAGTAAGAGACAAGATTATGTTTCAGATGGCCTCGATTAACACAATTTCTAGTTCTGCCTTCCAAAGAAAACTGTTTTTAAGATATACCTTCTAAAAGGTATTCAATTATGCCTTGTTTTTTGAGAACATTAAAAATTTGGCCTGTTTAATGTCTCCTTTGAAAAAATAATATAGGTTGAGACTGAGAAATAATTGGCTTTCTTGAAGAATACCTCCATCTCTTCTTAGGTTGAAACAACAGGACTTATCTCTTCACAGCAGCTTTCCTCAGATGGACTCAGAGTATATTTGACATTTGTGATGTGGGATGGTTCTGGCCTGTGTCATTACCCATCTTCTCCCTCAGGAAGCATTTACAGGCTACATTTCTTCTTATTGTTTGACTTGGGCTTTGTCTTATTGAGGGGAAAGATAATTCAGAATATGTTGTGTGAGCAGTGTTAGGGACACAGAGATGAGAAGACAGCAGTTGCGGGGAGATTGATGAGCCTCTGTGTGCTGTGGGGAGTCTTGGAGAAACAAATGGGTGATAGTTTTCTAAGCATAAACTGGGAAGAGGGGAAGGTTAAAATCATTTTAACTCCTAATTTACCCTAAAAAGAGATTTTTTTTTTTTAAACTTCAAAATCCTGAATTTGATATACAGGTCATTTTGAATTTCATTTGCTCTTAGATGATAATTCACTCGTAGTTAATTGAATAAGAACACTGTGTCTTGAACGTTACTGGATCTCTCCCAATCATTGGTCAGCACCCTGTTTGTTTATTTATTTACTTATTTATTTTTTAATCCTCACTTGAGGATATTTTTCCCATTGCTTTTCAGAGAGAGTGGAAGGGAGAGAGAGAGAAAGAGCGAGCGAGAGCGAGAGCGCAACATCAATGTGAGAGAGACACATTAATTGGTTGCCTCCTCATGCACCCCGACCGGGGCCAGGGATCAAGCCTGCAACCGAGGTGCGTGCCCTTGCTGGAAACTGAACCTGAGACCCTTCAGTCTGAGGGCCACCCAGCCAAACCAGCTCGGGCCTATTTATTTTTAATCAGGACTTCTACCACCACGCAGGGAATAGGGGAAAACCTTGAATACTTCACGTTACTAGAGTTAGTAACTGTTGACTGTTTCTGGTATGACATTAAGAAAGTGCAGTTAGATACCATAGATTTTTTTTCTTTCCAACTGATCCAGTTTGTTTTCCCCTCCATTGTTTCAGTATTTTATACCTATGTATTGAGACTTAAGCCACTGTGGGGCTATGTAGCAAATGCTGAACATGTAATTTGTTTTGCTAAAAAAATTGGGAGGAAAAAGCCTGGTTCTCCATAGAGGGAGAGAGGGTATTTGTAATTATTGTAGAATAATTATTGTAGAATTATTATTTGTAATAAATTGTAGAATTTATTAGAATCAGCTGTACTCTTTTAAAATAGTAAGAACCTTTGGATTTCACTTTTATTTAATCAGAACATAAAATTTCTTGATACGATATAAACTGTGAATATGCAGGAAGATTATTTTCAGTTATTTTCCCTCGAAAGATATTCTGAATAAAAACAATCTAGTGGAAAGACTTTGGTTATAATTTTTATTTTTCAGTGTAGAAATATCCTTTCCTGTAGTTATGCTACGTGTAGAGACAAATTTTATTTTTGTACAATTTCAGTGAACTTCTGATAGCTGTAGTCATGGGCTTCCCCCTCCCTCCCTCCCTCC